TTAGAGACTATTAAGCAAACGTGGTATTTCCCTAGTGTTCCCTATTAAAAAATAAATAAAATAAAATAAATAAATAAATTAGGCGCAGGTCGGCCTGGAGGGGGCATTTTGCTGTTTCCCGTTGAGCACTGCCATTACCCCCTGTAGAGATCTGTACATTCCTGTGAGACTTCGCAATAGCGTTTCTTTCACGTTTGCCAAGAGCCTACAGGTATAACCAAGGTGAGACGTGTAACTTATCTTGAACTAACAGGAAAGGCTTACGAAAGTGCGGACTGCCTCTCCCAGACCGGAGTCGAACCACAGCCACACATTTGGGTGATTTAGTCCTTTTTTGGGTTGCGCCATGCATTATACTTCAGAGTCGTTGTGGGATTTCAACTGCGAATGGATCTACGCAATTTGTGGGGTAAGACTGGTCGAGGCCGGTCCGAGCGGACCATGCACCTGATAAGCGGTGTCCTCTTCCACCTAGGTAGAACAATTTTATAAACCCTAGTGAATTGGAGCTAATTGAACTTCTCAAGTACTGAGTACAGCAGGGAAGGAGAATATTTGACACCTGAACTGAACCCTCCTAGGTGTCTTGCCAATACCGGCAGACAAATAAGACCTCCTACAATTCCAGGGCCGGCTTTTTGGAGATAGAGCTCTGGATGTCTCCATCATGATACTGTGATGAGAGCGCAGGCATTTTCTAATTCCTTAACGATTCTGAAAGCGCAGTTCGGCTTGGTGAGGGCACCAAATGGTACTCAGCCAAGCTCGCGGCGAAAGAAACGTGTAGAAACCTGTAAATTCCTGTAGGAAAGTGACTCGTTTGTACCATTACGCAGCTTCACCATAATTCACAGGTCTCACCAGAGTAAAAACTGCTCAAGAACATGAACTAGCAAAATAAACCAGCGAAAGTGCAGAATGCCCCCTCCAAGTGGTACAGCGGTGAGCGAAAATTGAATGCACTCCACATTTTACAGCAATGTTCATAAGCCTTACGCATTGATGACAGATTCGGAATGCCTACGTGATATTTTATCACTTGCAAGCACCAACACTTATAATCGATATGCGAGACATAAACATTTACAGTTAACATATAAAATGGTTTCCTGAAGGGCACCTACCACGCTCGTGGTGTGGGCGGGGCCAGGCCTACTTGTGCCCTTCTCTATGGCGCATACCCAACATTCACCGTCACAAAAAGAAGAGTGCATCAGGTAGAACAGTGTAACAGGAAGCACAATGGCACAGCTCCGCCCAAAAGATGAGCGTGGAATGTGCCAGAAAAAGGGAGGAACTTACAGCCACTAATTTTTGTTGAGTAGGAGGTGATGGCGGTGATAACATAGTTGGTACCTCCTTGCAGACCTAAAACGATCTGATCAAAAAATCAGTATCCTACTCAAATATGACTCAAATAGTACCG